TTTCATTAGCAAATATACCAGTAAACAAAGCAATATAGATATTAAAGATAACTTAAAGCCTGTTGTCATTTTGGATGCATGGGTTTTGTTGGGTTTCTGTTGTTGGATTTTTGTAACTGCTTGTCTTGTTTCCCAAAATCGTAAATGAGCATGTCATGCAGTAGATACTGCAAATTACGAAGTCAGTTCTCTAAAGAATACTACCTCTGCTAACCAGGGAGCTATTATATTTTATTGCTGTCTTATATATCCAGCAAGTTTTTTTTTAGATAGAAAAGCACTAGGTATCCAGCATGCAGAGCTACCTTACATGGAAACTTTATGGGTAAAGAGAAAAATTTTGCATTTTTATGGTTTTGAGTTAATAGAAAACTTGTGGAGTTAATGCAAAGTTGAAATTAATTCTTCCAAAGTTTTGACATTTTCTAGGGAATTGTGGTGCATCTGAATAAATAGAGATGCATTTTTCTTTTTTTACTGAGGGAGGGGAAATTTTTGGTCACATCCCTTAGGACAAAATACATCCTTAAGCTCTTAGCATATCTGCAGTCTCTATTTCCTGCATGATTTCTAGTCTACATAACTTACCAGTCAGTATAGTCTACATACTTACAAGTCAGTATCATGTATCTTTGTTTATGTACAGCATTTGATACTATTTGTACACAGAGACAGAGGTAATGCTTGTTCCAGGGTTCTTGTATGGTTCATATTCTTTAAATAAGACTCTAAATACATTATCTGGAAAACATGCAAGTGGCACTGTCCTTCACCATGTCACTTTGTCACATGTATGTCACAAAATGTAACTTTTTACTGGTATGTATTTTGCTGGTAGAATAATAAATTTTAATACACTTTTAAATCTTTGAACCTCTTTAAGTATTACTTCCAGTTTAAAATGGTTTTGTGCCATGTATCAAGTGGTTTTTGACAAACTTAATTGTCTTCTGTGATAAAGGTAGAAGCAGACATGTCCTTACTCTATTTCTAAATGTTTCATCTACCCTATATCTCCCTTTTTTCTCCTAGAAGATATTTAAAGGAACAGAATCTTTTACCAAAAGAATGTGTTTATTTTTAGATCATTTTCCAAATAAACACAGTGCTACGGTTCAACTGCTGTTTATTGATTTGTTGTGTCAATAGTTCCATTAACTGTGCTTCATATAATTCTGAATATGTGCTATTGCCCAAACATATGGTGTGGCAGCAGCAGCAGGGGACAAGAAGGAATGAGCATGAAGAAACTAAAGTTCAGGCAGTGCCTCCCTCCTGTGGTATTAAGTTACTTAGTTCCAGCACGAGGTGCTGAAGGAAACTACATAGTGTTTAAACAGTTCTGACAATATCTAAGACTTACTCCCTTAAAGAATAATTTTAAGGGAAGAAAATTATATGTAAATGGACTCCATCACAAGCTGCATTCTGTTGATTATAAAGGGATTTTTGCTATGAGTAAGGTACTTTTTCCAGATTAAGTAGGAAAAACACACTTGAGTTTTCGCACATGGGAAGCTTCAATTTGTATTGGATCCGTCATTGTTTCTGATGGTTGCTCCTTTCATGTGCCATCCAAGAGCCTGAGCTGCTTTAATGGAGGATCAGCTCTTCTGTTTTCCCTGTATCCTAGGTAAATATTCACTGCATTCATGTCCTCTTCTCAAGTTCAACCTTCTGCCTAAGCAGGCACCAAGTCACTGATAAATTGTTATGAAACCTTGACTGCATAACCATTTATCAAGCTATTTTCACTAATAATAATTACCTGATGGTCTCACAGCTTTCTATTACGTAATTAGGATTTAGATTGCCTGGTAAACTCTTCCTCTTGGTGTGCAACACTGATTTTATTTTTTTTTCCCCCAGTCATCAGTGGGACTTCTTAAAGTACATCTAATTCTTGGAATTTATTCCACTTTTCAGCTAAAACCAGAATATTGTGATATTCATGGCTCAATGTAAAACACTACATGGGGCAGTATACTTGTTTATGTGAATTTCTTCATTTAGTAGAAACATTGTTAAAAAACACAACAGCATTAAAAAATAGCGATTTCTTTAGTATATTGAAAGTACACGTACCAGTTCTCAAGATGAAGCATGCAAAAGTCATGAATTTATCTGCAGGGGATGCAGGGGAGCAGTATGCGTTTATATTGAGATGAATTTAACCATATGGAATCACATGGAAGAGATACATGGGCTTTCTTTTTTTTGTTATACATCTCAAAAGTAAAAATATGTAATGTGTAAAAATATATGTAGTATATATTGCATATTCATAATAGCAAAATCATATACATAATACATATAGTGTATTTGTACATATGGACATACACAAGTCTTTTCAGCACGGAAAGATACGACTAGCCAGAAAAAAAGTAAGCCTGACCCATCACAAACTGTTGTGATTCAGGCTAAGTGGAAAAAAAAGTCAAATTACTTCATTAATTTTTGAGACCCATCTTTTAACTTACATATATGCACTGTTTTCAAATCACTCTTTTTGTTTCTGTCACTGGATTAAATGTAACAAAGTTGTAGTTGAAAACTAGTAGTTTGAAAACATGTGAGAAATGTATATTAAGAAAAGGAACCTTCTAAAAGGTGTCTCACGGAGGCTTGAACCATAAGGCCAATTGTATCCACCTAGGAGAATTCATTATATGCCCATCTCCTTTTTCCTAAGCGAAAGGGAGAGTTCTTCCCTCTCACTTGGGTAACCCTGTTTGGATTCCTTCACAGTGTAGGGGAGCAGCAGATGTGGAACTGTATTGCTGCTGCTAATACTCTTCGTCCTTCACAAGCTGCTCTGTGGTATCCTTCTCTCATTAAGGATATGTCCCTAGTATTTCCCAGGTGCTTGCACAGTGCATTTTTATGTGATCATTAATCACCATTTCTGCGAAACACAGGCTTAGAGCACACACACCAGAGGCTTGAACCTTGATGAGATGATGAATCTTGATGAGATTTTCCTTATTCTATAGGTCTGGTCTTGTGCCATACAAGGTGGGCAAGGGCTTTGTAATAGACAGCTTTTGCGGCGGTAAAGGGCAGGGGGGCCTGCCAACCCATAGAAAATGAGCAATTTTATTCAAAACATGGTCTGAGAGAAAAGGAAATAACAAGGAAGACTGTTCGGGACTTCTATGTCTTCCAGTGACTCATTGTTTCCAATTTGTTTATATGTACTATTTTTGTAGGCTGCTCATCTATCATTCATGGCTTGGTGTTTCCAACCTCACGTGTGGAATGCAAGAAAATAGTCAGTGTGTGTCACATCAGGACAAGATGTAACAAGGCAACACAAAGCACAAGGCACTTTGGCTGGGGGATGAGGTTGCAATCAACAGGTTCTGTTCTTTAATGGAGCAGAATTGGGCATGTTCTGTGCATGTCCTGTGCATGTCTTACGACAGACTCAGGCTGTGAACCACTGTTGTGGAAAGTAAACATGAGATAGCAGGAACTCCTGGAAGGCTAAGTGCATGCTGTAATGTAAAAGAGTGAAATATTTCTTACATAATAAGGAAACCAGAAGAAGAAAGTGCCATTGATCACCATGGCTGTCAGGGACTGTCTCTTATATCCACATGAAACTTCTAAGAAATATTAAGCATAATTTCCCTTTTTTGATCTTCCTTAATGCAAGATCTTGATGGGGTTTTTTTAACTTATATTTTTCATCTCTTAAAATTGAGGCCTTGATTGCAGACTTTCTCATATCCATCATGACAGTTTAGCAAGTCTTGAGTTGTGCATCTGTAGCCCTTTCCATCCCATTCCCAGGGGAAATCAGTTGTATTATTTATTTATTTGGAAAGCATATATTAATAACCTAACTTAAGGATTACGTAAATGTTAGCCCCTTGTTTCTCCACCATCTTGCCTGCCTTGCATTTTTTGAATTTGGAGGAGCTCCTTTTCCTTTTGTGCCTGTGTGTACCTTAGGTTTCCTCCTCCTTCTCATTTTCTTTTGAGCATATGAGTAACAAAGCACTTGTCTGTGCTTTCCTGTAGTGGCTGCAGTCACTGTTTTGGCACCACCTTCATTTCAATTTTGCATCTCGCATACATGTTTTGTCATTATTCCTGTATGTTGCCATTTTTCCTCTGAAGAACAATTAAAATAAGTGGATTTTCAATTAAACATCATGTGTACACCAGTAGCTGCAAGTGACCTTCTTTCTATCCTGCTTACATTCCTATGCTTGGTTTCAATGAGCTGCTCTAAATAATGCTGGTGTTAGAACTTCTTCACAGAAAATGTTAAGGATTACTTGAACACTATAGAATGCAAAAGCAGCTACTACTGCTTTTGCAAAGTTACAGTGAAGAGTTATGACTCTTGTCTTTGGTTGTTTTTTTCCATAGTTTTAGCCAATGTTAATTCCAAATAAGCTAGAAAGCAGACTTCAACAGAAAGAGGGAAAACTTCGTTCATAGACACTTTTTTTGAGGACTTGCAGGATTATTTACTGGTATCACACTCTTGAGTCATCTGTGAGAAAATGAACTGGTGACGTTGAGCACACAGAACATCTCGTCCCTATTTCATCATGGTCCTGTGCAGTTGTGTATGCATTTAAATTTCAGAAGTCCTAATTCCTGTTTTTTAGCAAGAATAAACAAATACAGCAGATAGATGTGATTTCAGGGGTGAAACCTAAAAATAAAATTAAAAATTGGTTTCATTCCTCTGATTTTCTTCTGAGCAAATCTTGTTCTAAATAATTGAGTTTATACTTTTCTGAGATACTGTCACTGCACATTAATAATAAAATTTTTTGTATGTATTTTCCCATTCTTGTCTAAATGATCTCTTGAGCAAGCTTAGCTAAGACCAGTTATGCTTTGGTGGCATAGTATTCAATTCCTATTGCAAAACTCGAGTCTGTGTATCTTCAGTTTTCTAAATTTTCTGCTTGTGAAGTTCTACACAGTGAATAAAACTGTTTCAGATTTTAACTCCAGTGTTTTATATTTTGTTCTAGGTTGTTGGAAGAGGAGCCTTTGGTGTGGTCTGCAAGGCAAAATGGCGAGCTAAAGATGTAGCTATTAAACAGATAGAAAGTGAATCTGAAAGAAAAGCCTTCATTGTAGAGGTACAGTACGTTTGATGGAAAATATGGAGTTTGGTAGAGCTTTTTTCCTGAAATTCATGGGTGCACTCAGTGTACTAAAAGCTATGTCTTTATCACAAGATAAATGCTGCCTGCGGTACCCTGTTCAGGCCTGGACCCTTGTCTTGCAGAACAGGAGACCTGTCAAAGCACATTGCAGCTCCTTTAGTTTGCTTCTCATAAAATCTGAAAAGCAAGAGTGTGGGAGAGACAAGTAGGGAAATAACAGTTCTTAGATTCTGTCCCAGTGTGAAGTCAGGGTACAGCTGGAATACCCACCAAAGCCTTGAAGCAGATTAACACTTCCAGGGGCCACAGCATAGGTTCTCCAGTAAAATCAGGTTGATATTTGAAATTGCTTCTGAGTTTTTTCAGCAGTTCTAATAATTTGATTAATTTTATTTCTTCTATGCAAGTTCATTGCTACCTTAAAGGCAATCACTGTTTTCATTCAATGTCTGCTTATTTAAAAAATGTCTTGAGTAGTTCAGATATATTGATAAACTTCCCAAGATACATAATATTTTCTAGAATCAAAAGCTTAATTTAAATTACATATATTGTGACATGCTGCTTAGTATTTATTCAGTTATAGCTTAGAATGTTCAGGATACACAAAATATGTTAAAAATGAAACTCTTAAATTTAGAACTAACTCTAATAAAATGTGACACACTAAAGGGCTGAAAAAAACATGTTTGTAGTAGGCCTTTCTGTAAATATTTATATGTTGTTCATTATGATGGAAAGTTTTTAAGGTTATTAATCTGGGTCTGGTTTAACACTGAGTAAATCTCATCAGTCTCCTGGGATTTTTGTGTTCGAAAGAGATCTGAGTAGATAATCCCAGAAATGCTTCAGTAATTACTGCTATTTGGGAAACACTGCTCAGTGTAAGCGTCAGTTGAAATATTTCATTCTGATTTTTTAGATCTTCTGAAGTGTATAGAAAAAATAGCATTTGCTCCAAAGACAGCATAAAGTACTTCACCAGTCTGTGTACAGGGGAAAAAAATTCCTTCTTGCTTGCTTCTACTGTGTACTAGTGAAAAAATCCTAATGCAAAAAAGTGCAATTGTCAGCACAAATAGGTCCTTGGAACTATGTAATTCTAATATTAAGTTATTTTATGGGGTTGTGGGCTTGGGGACTTTAGAACTTTTGTCCTCTATATTGTCAAAACAGACAGTATGATTCTGATTCTTTTAATTTAATCAGACAATTTTTATGTAGTCCCAAAACTGAAGGCTTCAGGAAGAGCACCAAATCTATAGACGTCATAGTTGCACAATGTTTGTGTCTTGAGTGACTTTACTATAGCCTGACAAAAATACTTTCTTTAAAGATAATTTTACCAAACTTTTTTTTTAAAATACATGTCCAGTTTGACACAAACCTGATTACATAAATTAAATTGCAAAGAGTGACATGAATCTTGTAATTCGTAAAATCACCATCTGGAGTTATGCAGACATAGAAAACTGTACTTGCTGTTGTGATGTATTATTTATAGCTATGAAAACAAAGCATCAGTCTTTTTTTCCTCTGGTTTGGAACTGTGTGATTTGTATTGCAGCTTCGACAACTGTCACGGGTAAACCATCCCAATATTGTCAAGTTGTATGGAGCCTGCCTAAACCCAGTAAGTTACAGCTTATGTCAGTATGACACAAGGTCACTAGCTTAACATATGTAAGCACCAATGCACAGAACATGTATTTTATATTAAAAATGTATATTTTATATATTTTTCATGTTTTAGCCATAATAAGGAAATATACAGATATGTAGGTTGGTTGATATTTTCAGGTATTTGTTTTTCCTTTCTACTGCTATAAAAAATTCTTTCAAGAACACCCCAAATCTCTTTCTCAACACCAGTTATACTTCAGTTTGTCAAAATGGCATCTAGTGTATTACATAATGTAATTACATTCTTATCTGCAGACCTGTTAATTGCAAATCAATACAAAAAGAAATGCAGTCTTAAGACATGATTGTGTCTTGTAAATCAGCTCCTATTTTCATACATGTAATTTTCAGGATTTTCTTGATTTATGCCACAGCTGCAAAAAGTCTCACAAATTCTCTAAGCAGAAAAGAGGGTTCTGTAACAGGACAGATGTATCCTTAGCTAATTCTTGTATGGACTATTTAATTGTTTAAAATAATGCTGCACCCCTTTTCTTTCTTTGTACTAGTGAAATTCTTCTGGCATAATATTTAACAAAATTTTTTTTGTAAACCACTAAAGGAATAAAGTAAAGGACAATGAATTGCAGTTGGAAGACAGTATTTGCTTTTTAAGTCTGAGGAGGAGGGAGGTCTTTCTTTTATTTTCTAACTTCCAGTGAGAGCTAAGTGTAAAACTGATTTTTCTTACATGCAAATACATACATTTCAAACTGACTGATGTATTTTCCATTAGCTTAGGTATGGAGGCTTTGCAGTTGCTCTCAAAGAACTTCCCTTTCAGTTTACAAGAGCCATTTTCTGCCTCTGCATTGAAAATCTCTATTTTTTGTCCCCTTCCTCCCAAAGGTGTGTCTTGTTATGGAGTATGCTGAAGGAGGTTCTCTATACAATGGTGAGTATCATTTCAACTTCCTGGAGTTAAAGTGCTAGTATTGGGACAAACATGTAAGCTACAAGTTGTTTCATAAATATGTCTCCATTCTTGGAGCTATTCAGAAGCCACCTGAACACAGTCCAGGGCAAATGGCTGGAGGTGGCCTGCTTGACCTGCTTGGTGAATTTGCAGAGGTCTCTTCCAACTATTATGTGGTTCTTTGAAATTCTTAAAAAATTTTAAAGAGAAGGGAGTGTGCCTTTTAAAACCTCTTTTCAGTTCACTGGTTTGTTCTTGATAGCAGTTTCTTGTATTTTATACAAGTAATGTAAGGCTTTCCAGTGGAACATCTGAAAACATTCTTCCTTAATTTGTGAATTCCCTGGGCATTTTTTTAACACAGACTTTACCAGGGATAGCTGAGAACAAGCAACACTTTTCATATTGGATTTTAACATAAATGATTATGGAAAATGTACTTTAAAAAATGGGAAGTATTTTGACATTTCTGTTATTTTAACAGTCTGCAGAAAGTTATTTTAGTTGCAGTAATGAGGTGTTGGTGATTATTTAGATTCCATAGAGCTTTCTGGCTGGTATTTTGTTAACTCCATTGTATCTGTTGTAATATGCAATAAAGTTCTTTTTAGTTTGTGCCTTTATTTTGCAGTGTTGCATGGTGCTGAACCTCTGCCTCATTATACTGCTGCACATGCCATGAGTTGGTGTTTACAGTGTTCCCAAGGAGTGGCATATCTCCACAGTATGAAACCAAAGGCTCTAATTCACAGAGACCTGAAACCACCAAAGTAGGTGTAGAGTTCATTTTTCATATTTTATTACAAATGGTATTTAAGATCATTTACAATAATTTTATTGCATTTAAAAGAAATATCTTTAATGGGTACTAACTTTTAGATGTACTGTATTCCAAGTGAAAGCTGTGCGTTTGAAACTTCAGTTGCAGAATGATGATTTATGATACAGAAAATTAACTGTATTCAGTTACTTTCTGTTCAGCTAGAAAAATACCCTGCTCCTGCCCTGCATCATGGAAGAGGATTTTATTAGGAATAGGGCTTCTAATCAGAGGCATTTAAAATCTTCCAGTTTTGGAACGATTGTGGTGTTCAGTAAGAGAACATTGATGGGGGGTTGATTGGTTGTAATGTCATATTTAATCCGTTGCATTACAGCTCTTTAGCCACATGGCCATCCTCCTTTATCCCCTCCTTCTGCCCGTTCCAATACCCCTGCCAGAAGCTCCCATCACTTTCCGCCAAAACAAAATCTAATAGTTTCCTACCCAGTCAGTTTGTTGTTCAGCTCATTTTACAGCTTCAGATCTGGCTCCACAGATTAGATAGAAACAGATATTTGAGGATCAGCAGAATCATCCCTTTTTGGTGGTAATCTGCAGAAATTACCAGGTAAAATATAACATGAAGCCGCAATTTAAATCTTTAGTTCTTTCTTGTATTCCCCAGTTTTGATTTAGAGGGTTCACATGTAACTTCAAGTGCTTCCATTTAAACAAATACCTTGACTGACATTGGTGGGAGTCTTGATTGCTCTTCTTTTGGTAAAATTGTTACAGCACTTGTTGGTTTTCAGCCCCTGGCATCTGCAAGTCTACTTTTGTCAGTATATGCTTAGTGGTTTACTATAGCTAAAGATATTTATTTAAGATCTAGCATGTAGAAATATTAATAAATTACATAATATATTGGGTTACTTCAAAATATGTAATATGTTCACATTAGACACAAATGACCTTCTGTATTTCCTAGATTATAAAACAAAGCCCTGAAATACAAAGCCTAATATTCACCTGTATTAGAATGATAGTTGTTGGGACTTAAAAAAAAAAAAAAGAAAGTGGTTTAACATCCTTTTTCTTCTTTGACAGTTTGCTCTTGGTAGCTGGGGGGACAGTTCTAAAAATCTGTGACTTTGGTACAGCCTGTGATATTCAAACACACATGACCAACAACAAAGGAAGTGCTGCTTGGATGGCACCTGAAGTTTTTGAAGGTAATAAAAATTCAGTGTTAATATTACATTTTTTTTATAAGGATGCAACTGTTAATTAATGTAGTGTAAGAATAAGAGCATCGTGTAGTCTTCAAAATAAAGTTTACTAAGGTTGCGGTAACAACTGAAAGAGTTTTGGCAGAAGTCTAACATTTTCTTAAAAATCTCTACAAGTGTATATTGTTAAATAATTGTACAGAGGTTTGAAGAACAGCACTGACCCAATTCTCTCATGTTATTATTAGATATTTAATTACGTGAAGATGTAGAACCTTTATTTGTCATTGCTGAGATTTGCATAAGGAGTACCTTTAGACAGCTGCAGTTCCTTATTTTGTAAGTCAGTAAAATACAGCCAGAGGGCTCTTTCCCCACAGTTTTGCTGTTTCTAAGATTCTTAAATAATTTCAAACTCTTCTGTCATTTAAATACACTGTCACTACTTTCACTCCCTACTCTGATGAGCTTTTAACTTTAGAATTTCCCTGTTAGAGTCTCTAAATTGAACATAATTGCTTTCTTTTTTCATCCCCCACTTTCTTGTAACTCCCATCTTCATCTGCTTTTTGTGTAATCTAGAGATTTGATGTACTTCCTCTTTCCTACATACTGAGGAACTTGTTAATAGCAGTTAATTTGGTTAAGTAGAAAAACAAGCTATTTCTTGGAGTGTAATTGGGGAAGACTGATGATACTTGATAATTAGATACCTATAATTGCTGCATGATTATCAAAGAAATAAACACATAGATATTAAATTGTAGATTAAACACCTTTTAATCTGTCTGTACCTTAATTATCAATGCAATTTAGCAATGGTCTGGAAATGTCATCCTCCTGGTTTAGGAAGCAGGTGTCCTTGATTTGATATATTTGGCAAGTGCCTGTGTGCAGCAGTGGTTTCCCAGATTCTGGATCCAGGTGGCCTCTTTTCTTTTTACTGTCCTTATTCCAGAGACTGTCCATATACAGTTTTAGAATTCCTCCCAAACATCACCTTCGGAACTTTTGTTCTGAAGGTACCATTTTCTTCCACATATTACTTAGAGTACCAACTGAAGGATTATTTGTTTCACTCTGATTCCTGAAAATTTTCCATTATGTCATTTTATATTCAGGCACTTCCTATTTTTTTAGCCAGGACTGCTTCTTTTCGTAACACATCCTATTAAATGAAATTGTATAAATAGGAGATTTTTTTTTTCTTTTAGAAATAAGCAAGTGAACAATCAGTGTTAAAGATAGATTTTTTTTTGTAAAAAATCTTAATATAAAACGGATATAAATAAATGTATTGTAGTAGGGATTTATAGTTCGTATCCTAGTTCCTCTAGTATATGAATCCAGCAAGGTAGAAAGAAACCGTGTATTGCAGTTATTGTTGGGCAGCGCAAGAAGCCTTCAGTGTACAGTTGTTTTTATGTGCTATTAACTTAAAGCATTTACTGATAAATAGACAAATCATTATAAAAACACAAGTATCAAAGAGAGGAAACAATCTACTATGATGCATCTTCTACAATGCAGCATATCAAATTACTCTTGAAAAAGTCATTAAACTACTAAAAATAACCACTTTAAATGGCAAAATTGTTAAAAATTTCTTTACTTGTGTTACTGAATAAGAATTCAACAATGAAATAAAGGCTAATATTATTTTGGTGCTGTTCTAGTACTAAGGTTTCTTGGTGAGAGAAATAAAGGCATGAAAAGCATCTGTTGCAAAATGTGGTGCTTAGTGAGCTAGTTACTGTAATATTAGGAATTTTCCCCCCATTTTAAACCTAACCGCCTACCTTTGTACAGATCAAATAATGGAAATGAAAATAATATGATATAGGTCAGGATGAAATAAAAGAGAGCAACTTAAATATAAGAATTCCCATTTGAAGAAACTGTTAAAGAAAAAATTAAATTGCTTTGGGATAATAAGGAAACAATACAGAATACTTTCTCACTTCTTTTGGACTCTCACTTTTCAGAATTAATCCAAGATTTCTCATCAATAAAGTAGAATTCCATTGCTCAAATAGGGGAATGGTACTACTTTAGTTTTATAGGCTGTGTGTTACAGAAGTTCTGTGACTGCATGGATGAGTCTGTTTTGCTTTCCTTAGTTATCTGCCTTTGTTTACATTACTTTTTTCCCCCAGCATCTTTGAAAATAAGCTGACTGATAAAGCTGACTTTTTCTTCTTCATACCTTTTGAACTCATTAGCCACATTCAGCTACTTTGATGCAGGTGTAAAGAGTTTTTGAGATCCACATTCTTAGAGAGTTTTGTAAAGTCCAAATTAGTGCCTTCACTTAAAGACGGTTCATGCTGCAGCCTGTTTCTTGTGTTTGCTTTGCAAACTGGCTGGACTGGAAGAACTGACCGGAGAACAGGCTGCCTTGCAGTTTGTCAGAGGTGTGGGGCAGAGGAAGTTGGCTCATAGATAGTGGATGGAGCCTGTTGCAACTATTGCTACATGGTGGATATTCACATGGAACTAGACATCTTTAATTCCACTGTTACTGAAATGATTTGTCTAAATAATGCTTTCTGATTAGGTATAAACAAAAACAATCTCTTGGCCACTATATGTCAATTTTAATCCTTGTTTGAAGATAGGTGAGCAAAGCTCCTATAATTCATATTTGCACATTTATTCTCGTGTCTCATTTCTTATGAGCATTTACATGAGTTATGGTTACAAAGCATACATTCTTTCTTTGTAGCCTCTGAATATTTTTATTTATTATTCTATATCTCCAACCTGTCTTCAGCACTTTAGGAGTCTTAGAAATATTGAACTTATGGTCAAAGAATTTTAATTAAGTAATGACATTACAAAAATAATAAGAATAATAAACAAGGAGGAAATAAGGTGGTGAAGAATTGAGAACTCTCCTGTTTTGTTCATGTGGTAACTTGGTAGTTCTTCTGAAGACCTGTAATTAATTAAGAGTAATGGATATGACAGATGTCATTGGCTGGCATATTGTGACTAAGGTTGGAAGAAATTAATTGAAAAATATTTAGAGGAAGCAAACATAATCAATTGAATCCTGAATGCAAGAGATTTTTAAAACATAATAAATTGCAGTTTCTATTATATAAGAAAAGTGATGCATTTTATCATTTCAAGATGACTCCAAATGAAAAGGATTGATTCCCAGAGAGGGGCATTCTTAACAGTCATACTGTCAAGTGATTTCAGGCTTAAGTTAGCATGAATCAGCCAGCTTTAGAAAACTGTTTTTTCTCAGCAAAAGAAATGTGAAGTGAAAGTAAGTATGTAAAGCTATTTATTTATTGGAGCAAGCTGCACAGGAGAGTGGTGGAGTCACCATCCCTGGAAGCATTGAAGAAGTGACTCAGCATGACACTTAGTGCCGTGGTTTAGTTGACATTATGGTGTTTAGTGAAAGGTTGGATTCAGTGATCTTGGAACTCTTTTACAACCTGATTCTGTGATCTGCTCAAACCCTATTTCTTTTTGACCTGTTACATAGAAAAGAGTCAAATTAAATTGATGGCTTTCTTTCAGGTAGCAATTACAGTGAAAAATGTGACGTTTTCAGTTGGGGTATTATTCTCTGGGAGGTAATCACCCGTAGGAAACCTTTTGATGAGATTGGTGGCCCAGCTTTCCGAATAATGTGGGCAGTTCACAATGGTGAGTTGAAAATACTTTATTGCATTTGAAGTTGTGTATATGACCTATAAATGTGCTAAAAACTCTTAACTGTACAGCTTTATATTATTAGTGTTTCAATTTTGTGCTTCATTGAAGATTCATTTTTGTCATGAAGACTAAACAGTTAGACAGTGCCACTTTGTGTCAGTGTGGCTTTTGAGTTACTTGGCTGCTACAGCATTTGCTACCTAACAAAGAAGGATAAAGAGTAATGTCATAGTTATTACAACACTCCCCTTTAAAAGTGATCTGATAAAAATCTCTTATCTGGCTCGATGATGGTTTTATTAGCTACATTGTCTTTCTTTTACCTTTTTTTTCTTAATTGGACATCTACAAGAAATGTGTAACTTTAAGTAACTTAACCTGTGTTTAGAAATCTTAGAAACTATGAAACCTCCTCCAGGACCATTAGGTGTTAAAAATGTTACTTTTGTTTTTCTTCTGTGGTGTTTTGGGGTTTGTTTTTTTTTTATTCTGCTGTTTGAATGGTTTTACCTTTATGTCTAGGTACCTGCACTCATGGAGCAGCACTCTGCTGTGCTAGGTGCTATGCAGAACAGATTTTCGGGAGCTTAGACTATCCTAGAACAGGACACAGTAGTGTTGTTCAAATGGACTGCTTTCTTTAAAGCAGTAGTGTAACACTGGCCAGTGTAGTAGAGTAGGCTGTAGTATCTTTATGCTAGAGGTGTAACTTTTTTACTGCTGTGTTTTTAGGTGCCATGGCAAAACAATTTTTTGAATAATAAAGTAATGATAGTGAAGTAGTTCAGTGAATGTCTGCAAAGAGTTTCTGCCATTTGTGAGAGGCAACACCAAGGCAAGCGCAAACTTTTTGGAAGAAAAAATTAACAAACAAGCAATGAAGACTGGTACACTCCCCAAGTGTCATTGCTTCAGTAGTAAATGATAGAAGCATAAGGTGAGCACAGGCATATCCTGTTCAAAGAAGTGAATGGGGCAGACAGAGATAGAATCAATTAGTAATATAGTCTTAATAATACATATAGAGAGATGTTTGCAAATGCCATTTTTGAATGAAGAATGAGATTCTCCAGTTTTTCAAGGACACTGGACATTGAGAATAGGAGTAATACTTGCCTTGCATAAAAGCATTTACTGTAAAACTAAGTGTAAATCTAGTACTAAATTAGGAAGTCTCAGTAAGGTGTGGGAGTATACTTTAAAATTCACTATCTGTACCTAATTTTGCTTTAAAATTTTATCTTCTTTTTCCAGTTTCTTTTTCCTTTTTCTTAAGAACGAAGTGTTAGTGCACTTCATCTCACTTAAAACTATTGTAGCATTCTTACTTCATGTATTGCTTGTTCTGTTTAATATATTCTTAAATACTACTGCTTTCTTTGCAAACCATCACTGTGTCTCATATATCCAGCACAACTGGTTGTCCATTAATTGTTCTCATTGAAATTGTAATAAGAGGAGGAGCTTGAAGCAAAAAAGAGCTGAATTGTTATACAATAGTTGAAGTAAAATGTTATTAAAATTAGTATAGACCATGAAAAAGTCACACAAAATTGGTAGTTCCAGGGCCTGATAATTTTTCAGGATGTTCTTAGGAGCAAAATCAGCTTTCAAAAATGCTTTAAGTCTTTTGGGTTTTTCTGTTTGTTTGGTTGGTTGGTTGGTTGGTTTTCTTGGGGTTTTTTGTTTTGTTTTTTGTTTGTTTGGGGACTTTTTGTTTTGACTTTTTTTTTTCTTGTGAATACAGCATTAGGAAACAAAGACTGTTATTACTTGCTTCCTAGTTTGGCCTAGAACTTTATTCTTCAGAAAGAAGTGACATTTAATTAGCCTTTGTAATATGCTGTATTTGGTCAGTCAGTGAATGTATTCAAACCTGTACTGAAGGAAAAGTTTAATTTTTTTCTACTGCTGCTGTGTAGTGCAAAGGAACTTTTCTTGTCAGTTTTTGTTTGTAGGAGAGAAAATTAAGTACGTACAATTAATTCTGCATTTTCCTTTATTTATTTAGCAGAATACTGGCGAGAGATCAGACACTTTCAGCTGTTTTAGAGTCTGTTTAAAAAGTTTAAAGGTGTTTTCTAATTTCAATTGCAGGTACTCGGCCACCACTGATCAAAAATTTACCTAAACCAATTGAAAGTTTAATGACCCGTTGTTGGTCCAAGGATCCCTCACAACGGCCATCCATGGAGGAAATTGTTAAAATAATGACACACTTGATGCGGGTATAAAAATTTATTTAAGTATTTTAATAATTTCTTAAAATATTAAGCTGGAAAATTCATGTACAAAAAGTATGCCTTTCATCCCACTCCAAAGATGGGTTTACGTGTTTACTTTTGCCTCTCTCTTTTTGACAAAAATTATCAAATTATTGAAGGGAAAAAATTTGTCTTATATGCATATATATATTCCCTCTTTGAAGGGGTATAGTAACTCATAATAGATTTGAGAAAATAAACAAAGTAATAGGTGTATCCAGTGTATTACATTATTAAAAATAATTGCATTCATTTATATTCTAAATAAATTATTATAAATGTAATATATAATTTACACTTATTAATTATGAGGTACTGTTTAAATAATTTTAAAACAATTGTAATTACTTTTTTATTAAGTAATTACTGTTTTTTCACAGTACTTTCCAGGAGCTGATGAACCTCTGCAGTATCCTTGCCAGTATTCAGATGAAGGCCAAAGCAACTCTGCCACTAGCACAGGTACATTTGTATAAGTTAGAGAAAAAGAACAGCAACATAAAATGATGCAGATAGATTATAAAGCACATTCTTACATTGATTCTGAACTCAAAATGGAAAATACTTCCAAAATCTTAAGCATGAGCAGACCCCATTTATTTTGTTAATACCTCATACGACATCATATTTAGTGTTCTCAGTCAAATGATTTTGCTGAAGTGTACTGGTAATGAAGAAAAAGCTTATAATAAAAGCTGTCTCCAAGTTTGATATCTCTGTTTTATCCCCATGAATTTTGCTAGCAATTGACACTCTTTTTACTCATTATGTAGTGTCTAGGAGTTGTCAATTTAAAATGTTTCATTATTCTTGATAGCTGTACCTGGTTTAAGTTGCAATCTCCACAATTTAAACTTGCATTTGTTTTATGATAAGTTGCAGTAAATACAGTAATTTAAAATAAGTGCAAGAAAAATCACTAGAAATTTCTGTGGATGGTACAAAATGTGGGCTAGACTTTCAGGTAGTTTTGCCCTCAAAGAAATCCTTTTAATAATAACAAAAACAAAAAATATTTAGTTTCCTCATTGTTTAGAGGAAACATTTAGAGGACATTTATTTCCACTTAAGTAGTTTTTTCATTTTACATGTCTTCAGCTTCCTCTGCTTGGTTGAATTATTTTCTAGCACCAAAGAAGTTGCTGCTATTTTGGATAAAGATTCACTGACTACTTTGCAGCTTATTCATCTTTATATTAAAGAAGTCTTTGCAGCTTTAGCATTTCACTGACTTTACTAGTTTTTCTCCACCTCTCAGCGTATGATTTTGAGTGAATTTGTCACGTCAAACTATAAATAGATATTGGCTGATATTTTTCAGGTATTTGTGCTACTCTGTGATTAATGATGGTCTTTGTCATTAATTGTGAAGGAGGTTGCTGTTGTGTTGTTAATGTAACAGCTACCCTAAAAATTTCAAAGAGAGGTTAAGATTGACTTCAGAATGTTATCATAGTATTTAGATATATATTCTTTTTTCACTCCTCTTGTTTCTTATACTAATTGATCTGTAGCAGTCTTGCTACTTGTCTTTCATTAAAAGTTTTCAAAAGTGTTGCTTTAAAGGCACGTACGACATCTGAGAGCTTTGCTGTCAAGTGATGCACTTCACTATTTTTAGTGGACTTTTTCAAATGTTTTTCCTTGTTACTGGTTTCTAGGTTCATTTATGGACATTACTTCTACAAACACAAGTAACAAGAGTGATGCTAACATGGAGCCAAGTGACTTCCAAGGAGCTTCTACCAATGACACTATTAAACGTTTAGAATCAAAATTGGCACAGCAAATCAAAAATACAGCCAAGCAGCCGGTAAGCCAACGGGTGCAATTTTGAACCATAGTAGCAAAATGGACACGGGTAGACATAAGTGTTGTGTCTGCTCTGAAACATGTGTCCTCATTCAAAATAGTGCAAAATTGGATCCATTTAGTAATAGGAGAAGAATATAGAAGAAAAGGGACAGAAAAATATTGTATGACCCCCAAAAGGTAAACTGGAAGGCTCTAATTTTAATCTAATAAATCCCTTTAAATACATCTCCAAGGGATTAAACATTTTAGGTGAATTTTGAAGTAGAATTCAAGTAGAATGCAAAAATACAAAGATTCTCTTATGACAATATTGGCCTAGTTCTGCTGATTTTTTATTGGTGTGAAGTTAGATTGATTATTTTCAAAGCTGCAGATACTTCATTTGTATATACCAATAATAGTTTAATTATTGCCATTTATTGTGTTAGGAATTTTAAATCTTGTCCCTTTGAAAATGCATATTGTAGAAACATACTGGTGTGTAATGTGGAGGGGCTTGTGCAGAATTTTCTTTTCACAAAGTGTGACTGTTAAACAGGGTGACCCTGGCCGCTTGAGTTTGCCCCCATCTCGTGGGAGCAGTGTTGAGAGCTTGTCAGATGTTCGCGCACGACCACCGTCAGCCCTCGTTTCCGGAGAAGCCAAAAGGATGAGCGCTGACATGTCAGAAATAGAAGCAAGAATAGCTTCCATCACAGGTAAAATTTAATGATGTTTGGGGAGTAGACTAAAGAACTGGAAAGAAATAAAGGAGGAAGGAAAATGTAAAACATGCATAGTCTTAAAGAAAGTTGCCAACAGTAGCTATATGAAAATACTTAAGCTTTTCCTGTAGTCTTGATTGTCCTTTATTAATTGTGGGGGGAATGCCTTTATTTATGGATATTGACTCAGCAAGACTGAGTATTTTAATTGACTATTTTAAAGGTTTTAGAGATTTTGTTGGATTAGATTTTTACCTTTTTAAAAAATGCATTATGAGACTTCTAGATATCAGTCCTATTCCAAATGCACAACTTTCTCCTTTTTATCTGAAATAGTGTTATTGCATCTCTGCTAGCTTAATTATTTACATGATAACATTTTCTTCAGGGTTGTCTCTATAATACTTTTGAAATTAAGAGGTAGGTTTAAAGTTCATGTTCCCATATAAGTTTAAAAACCCACTGTGACAGATTTCAGAATGAGAAACATAATTAGATTTCACTCACCAGGTTAAGAAAGCATTGTCTTTTGTTAAAAAAAAGCTACAGGTGTTTTGCCAGGTTTCCTTCAGATATAAACTGTCATCTCTAAACCTTAAATCTTTGAGAGAAGTAGAATTTATCTGTAAGTATAAATACATGATTTTATAGTGAAAGCTATCTTGATTCATCCCAGAAGAACGAATTAATAAAAATGTGTATACTTGGCAAACACTTTCTTGTCTCTTTTCTTCATCAAAGATACTGTTTGTTAATATATGTAAACTTCAGGTTTTAAGTTCTGTATGTGAAAGTTTTTGTGTTATGATATATAACAACAGATTTAATTAAACAAAATTACTTTGGTTAGTTCAGGGTTATTTAGCTCTTTGAGTATTTTTATACCAATATGAAAATTAGGGTAGTCGAGTAGCTGCAATTAATAAGGAATTACACATCCAAATTCTGGCTTTCTTGTGCACCATGGCTATTTCGTTTTTGTTCTTCATTGTGTTATGATTACTCCAGGATCTTGTTTTATTAAATACTGAGGTACTGAAATAATACTTATCTTGCCCTAAATTCTTTTTACTTTAATATTTTTATTTTAAAGCCTTATTCCAAAATCTGTCTTGTGTATTGTTAGTCTTTGACTGGATGACTGTGTAGCAAGTCTCACCCTGAATATCTATAAAGGTTTCTTAACACAGAAGGCAACTGTGTACTTACTTGGTAATAACACTGTGCTGGTTTTATTTTAAACATGTCAGGACTCACTTTGGTCACTGACATTCTTAATGTAACTTTTTGACATTATCAGAGGTAGCCTGGCCCTCCTCTGTACGAGTTTTTAATTTTCCTAGTTTGTCTTCTTTAAGTATATTGCTCTGAAATAATAATTACTATTCTGAATAATCTAAGGGCTTTTTGGTGATTTTTTGCTATGACTGTAGGGTTTCTTTTTCTTGAAATAGAAGTACATATTGAACATACTGTTTTTGGTTTGGGGTTCTTTGGATATTTTTTTGTGAAATCACTTCATGCAGTAGTGGACTATGAGAAATGAGGTCAAGCACAACTGACCACAGCTTTTTCAAAAAGAGGTGAAACAGCACTGTATTGTTTTATTTTTTTAGTCTTGTTAACTGTGTGACAGAAATAATATTCTGTGAACCTGAAAAAAAATTGCGTGGCTGGGTGAGGATTGGGCTGTTGTTAAATCAAGTTGAAAACTATTTAATCTTGTTCCATCGTTCTCTGGATTAATTGTAAAAGTAAATCATGTAATGCACATCACATTACTTACTGAGATGAGTATGCTACAATGGTCTACTTTTAGGAGATGCATTCAGATTTTTCTCTAAATAGGAACTATTTATCTTAAACTACAGAAGTGGTAAAATTAAAAAAATGTATTATTAGATTTTATTTCAAGGTGTATAATGTTTCTTGAACATTATTCAGAAATTAAAAATCTGGTAGTTATATCCATCTTTCAAAAAATCTTCACTGTCAGGGCAAAAGAGTAACTGGCAGGAATGATTGTCAAATGCAGTAAAAGTAAATATTTTTTTCAGAGATAGAGGAGATTTGCTTTGAAAGGAAGTGATTTAAAGAAGCAAAAGTACCGAGCTATTAGACTTTTAAATAAAATAGTTTGTACCTAACACTGAAAAGAAAATGTTAGTTAAGTTCAGGCAATCAAGTTTTTTTTTTCTGAATGTATAGGTGAATTGAAATAATTTAATTTGTTTTCTGTTTGGTTAATTACATTTGGTTTTCCCTTCTGTGTTGCCATGCTGCTTTCTGTGTTTGACTTTTGTGTTGCTAACTATAACTAATTACACCGTGTTGTAATGATGGCTAGTTCTGCATTTTTTGCTTTTTAACAGTTGCTTTACTATGTGTAAGCATGAGTGGAAAGCAATGCAGTTTATTCTGCATGACACATTTTTGCATGAACTCTAGTTTAACCAAATATATGAAAAATGCAGTATTAGGAATTTAATAATTTTGCTCTTGCCATTTTAGTGTTTTGCATGTGTATTGTATATGTGTATTTTTTCAGCCTATTCCAAGCCTAAACGAGGCCATCGTAAAACTGCTTCATTTGGCAACATTCTGGATGTCCCTGAGATCATCATACCAGGTATCGCAGACCAGGTGAACGGGTCAATTGGTTAAGATGCCGGAATAATGATCAGACTGCTAAAATACTTCTTGCTCCAGTTGCTTTAGGACAGGCTCAGAAATTATCCCACTAAATTTTTCCTAATGCTTCAGTAATGAGGAGCATGATATTTCATTACAAACTTACTTTTATCAGTAAATTCTTCAATCTTCAAATCAAATTTACTTCTACTGATAAAGGACTTTTTCCCTTAAAATCTTGTTGTTCAGAGTCTTCTTACAGAGGAAAACTATATATGCAGTCTTCTATTACAGTACCTCATTTGGTGAAAATGGAACTAAGTTGAAAAATTCCTGTCTAGGTAATTGTTTTGCCCTGATCTTTGTTGTGTTTAGGCTCCCATTTTTAATCAGATCATAGTAGAAAAAAAACCAAAAAAACACAAAGATAAATTATGTACAGAACTTTAAATCTATGATATTTGTGATTAAAACATTAACACTTAGTCTGTGTAATTCTTATATTTGAGTGCACTTTTCTAGGGCTAAAATGTGTGTGCATGAGGTATTGCTGTTGTGTTCAAGTTAATGCAAACTAAAATTACTAGGAGAGGCTTTTGATAGGAAAAGAATTAATATAATCAGGCACCATGGATGGGAATATCATTTGGGAATTTAATGAATAATTCTCATGTATCCCAAGTCTTTTTTTAGTTAGTAGAATGACATTTTTCTTTCTTTCATTTCATACTTCTCAAAGCCTAAAAATAAGTATAATCAATCCCAAACTGTGATAGGCATACCATTAACAGTATGCAAGTCACTTCAGAGTGATATGTCAGGAGCAGAAAATGAGGAAATGTGAGTGAAAGCATCTAGGAATCCACTAAAAACTGTGGCCTCCTTTTCTAAATTTCTGTCATCTGAGGAAGTTTCTTTGTAGATCTTGATATTGTTAGATATTAAAAAGTTGAATGCAAAAGATAATTTTGTACAAATGTTTCTTTCAAATAACTTTATTAAAGGTTACAGTAAAAATACAGAATATGAGAAAGTAGATTCCAAAGAGCAATGGCACCCATAAAAAAGCAAACCTCTTTGGCACTGAAGCTAACAAATTGACAAAAAAGTTTACTAGAGTAGCTTTCCACTGTAACTTTGAAGCGGTCCTGGCCTGCACTGACATAAATGAAATCCTGAGAAAGCAAGGAAAGCGAAAGTGAAGACATCTGTCCGGTTTCAGTGTTAGCTCGTGATGAGAGCCTGGTGAATAAGCTCTAGAAGCTAATGAGTGCCTCTTGCCTCTATACCTTGTCTGTCTATAAAAACATTGAGGCTTCCAAGAAACCTTGAAACTTTCGGGCAATAATAAAGAAGTTGGTGAAATAAAATACAATGTTGTTTTCACAAAACAGATTGTATTGTACCAGTCTATTGGTTTCTTCGTTAGGCAGAGACAGTCATTAAAAATTCTTCACCTGGTCTATTTTAATCGAACTTGACAGGATGGGAATTTCAAGAATTTGGAATACATATGAAAGAAATGGAAACCTGTAGAAATAAAAAAAAAGTATAGGTTTGGAGCAAGCATATTAAGGAGTTTTCTCAAAATTTATTCCTAAAGTATTTAAGTGAAATGAGTTTGAGTTAATGTTTCATCAGAAGCAACTATTCATTAAGTGGAGGATTAGAATATCACATAGGGAGAATTTTGCTGTGACTGAATAGAAATAGGGTAAAATCCAGGGTCATGCACTAACAACAATTTCTATTAATAAGATGACATGGAATCATAGCACATGCATGCAGATTAATACCAGGTAGTATGAGCCACAGATCTAATCTAGTTGTGAAAAAACGTGAAATCTTAAGGTTCATTTCCAGGAAAGATAAAGAAGCACCAGCACTATTACTGGCCCTTGCTGAGTTTGAATCAGGAATTGAATATACTGTCTGGTCAGCCATATAAAAGAAACATGCACTCAAATAATGTGAAGAAGAGTTACTAGGATATGAGGGGCATAGACAGTATAAAAACAAATCTGAAAGCATGGCTTTTTTTAGCTCACAAAGTGAAAGCTGAGAATGAATAATTATTTTCTATAGATGAATCTGCTGCTAAAATCTAGGAAGAGGTAACTACTTAAGCTAAAAGACAATATTGGCACTACAGAAAAAAATATGTAAATTGTCTGCAAATAAATCTGGGCTTTACATTGAAAGTTTTCCAGTTGTCAGAACAGCTTTCCAGTAATAATCCCAAAGCCAGAAAATAATGAGATTAATCATTACATGGCAGAACATGATCATCTGCCCAGTAAACTAATTATATTCATCTGTATATTTCTCATTTCTTTCCTTTCTTTACTCTTTCAGCACAAGGCTCTCAGTTCTGGCCTCTGACCACACTTTTCCCTTTCTAGAGCCCTAAGCTTCCAAGACCCCCAACTGTCAGCACCGTCTCAGTCCCACCCAGTTATGTTCTATACTACTTCAGGCACAGACCCGCTCCTCCGGACTTCCCTGGGCACATCCCTCGGTGGGGCGAGCAGCTCGTCCCTGTCCTTGCAGCCGCACAAGTGCCGGTCTGTGCTGCTGCCTGGAGTTGTGCTGAGCACATGGTAGAGCAGCTGCTGCCCAGAGAGGGGAAGCACCAGGCAGGCATGTTACCGTGAGTCAGCTGCTTTGGGCAGGGCTATTTTGGAAGTATGAGTGCTACATCTGCTATCATTGGGGGTTTTCGTAATGCGTTGCCTCAACTGCATTTCGTCCATGAACTGATTATGCTTCCAAGGTCGTAAAATACATACTTTATCAATTAAAGGTAAAATATTGTCAGAAGGGGAAGTTTTTAGAATATATTTGCTCTTCTTTCTAAGTACTATAAGAATGAAGAGAGCTATTTGTTCATTTAAGATTGTATTTTGTGTTACTAGCTTACAAAACTTAAAAACTGAAAAATGGATCAAAAAATTCCTCCTTTGTATAACAGCTTAGCAAATGAGTTTGCAGTGGTGGTATCCTGTAACCAGATAGCCTAGTGATGTATCAGTTCTTTTTTTTTTCATTTGCAGTATGTATAGCACAGGTTATAAGCACTGACTTTATTTTTATATACATATTTATGTATAAAAAATGAAAACCCTAATAAGTACAAAAGGTTTAGGTATCTTTTTGTTTAAAGAAACAAAATCTGACTTCTAGTTTGTATACTTTTCTGGTAGAAACCATTCAAGGAGCATCTAGCAAATATACCTACAAGTACGACCTTCTCTTCACTGGCAATGTTAGACATCTCGTGCATTTAGCATGTGTGCATTTGGCTTTGTAATTTTGTCATCTGAAACTGTGCCACAGCGTTACAATTTTTATAGCATTGACACTGCATAAATGATTACTCAAGATAGACACATTTTGTAGAGAGTCTTTAGAAGGTGGATAGGAATTATGGATGCTGTAGGTCTGTACAGTTAAAATCAATGTATGCCAGAAATCCTACCCTTATCTTGCCAGATCGCTTAATTCTTCTGGAATTCAGGTCAATGTTTTAAGTTCTTCAGAATGTCTTATAGCAGTGTTGCAGTCACTAATCATCCTGCACTGTGAGAGAGGCTTGAGCCCTGTAGGTGTGTAAGGAAGAGAGAGGACTGTGAGTAAATAAGAAAGTGTAAAAGGAGATGCAAATATCTGCTAAAGGGCAGGGAGAAGAGCTCATAGCTGGTCTGGATATTTGGAGGCTGGGTGGGGGTGGTGATCAAAAGCTTAATAAGTTGTACAATTTATTTTTGCCTACAGTATGTGGGGCAGGACGTGATGGAAGTTTCCTGTTCCTTTAGAATTTAATTTTAGAAAATAAACAACACTATGTGAAATGGGTTGTTCTGAGGCCATGAAGTATATTTGTGACATTTGCTTTTTAATCTTAAAATCCTGTAAACCACCAAAAGCCTGACACTGTGCATTAAGTTACTGTGGATTGACTTCTGTCCGTGTACAAATCTCTTAGTTTTATAATGAGGGAAAAATATTTTTGAATGGACATAGAGGTAAGAACAAGATCAAAACTGGAAGAGAAAAACATAAAGAAGTACCCATGATCTTTTCAAATAAATATTTTTTGTTGTGTTGTATAGCATATTTTTCAACTGAAATTTGTCTTGAATCTGGAGCAATAAGTATTTGTTGATTCGTAGTCTGTTTCTGCCTTGTTGAAGCTATTTGCCAGATGTCTGCAGTATTATGCTAATTAAAATGGCATTGCCTAGTTGAGCTTGCTCTTCCCTCATGCTACTAACTTGAAGATATTTCAGTTAAAGGTGTTCATTTTTTAGAACAGTAGTTTTGGCCCCTCTTTCCCCCCCACCTCTTCACTTCCCACAAGGCATTTTCTTTTCTTTCTTGCACCCCACCCTGATTATTTTAACATTTTGGCAGCCATGTTCTAATCTTTCAGCAACACATGCGCTGGGTTCTTTAAATTCACAAATGTTGCTAATCTGAAATGAGAATTTCAGATATTTTTGCAAGCCTATTTCAGCTGAGCTAATTTTATAACAATGTTGTTGAATGAAATGTGCACATAATTTTGTATCGGTCGTGGGTGGATTGCACATATGTTGCATATTGAGATGAGCTGTGGCAGCCAGATGAAGTATCCACAGCACAGAATTCTATTAAATGTATAATCTTGTTTCTTAAACAATTGCATGGAGAAAAAGTTCACTGCAAATGAACAAGTTCAGACATTTTGACATAGATTTGTAATTCACAAGATCCCCATATGAAAGTACTAAACAAACTTAGCCATTGTTGCTTAGGTAAGTATATACTTTCCCTGAATTTCAGAAGCAAAATACCAAGACCACAGAACAGTTGCAATTCAAATGCATTTGTAGTCAGAGCAAAAAGTATATTCCTGTTTTAGAATCCTGCTTGACTTTCTTATATGCTCATTTCTCAAAGTACCTTCTATAAATTTTAAATCATCATGACAAATTGATAAAGTCACACTAAGCATTTTGTATTGCTGTTTTGTGGTAGTGTGTTCCTATGTGTAATAATACATATATTTAAAAACTTAAAGGCTTATTAAATATATTAGTCAATATTAAATAGTCTTACATTTTTGTAGTAACTGTTGCAATTCAAAACACGTGTCAGGGTAGGCTTGGAGTCGTGGGAATTATGCTGAATGAGAAGTATCTAAAAGGTCAGCAATGTGATGCCTTTTGCAGGGCTTTGAGTGGCTGAGTGTGGGGCTGCTGGGCGAGGGGCTGCCATGGCTGCAGTACATGTTTCAGATGCTCCCCTCCAGTAGCAGAGTTACGTAATGCAGAGCTAAGAGCAAGAATTTTGAGCATTGTCAGCTGTTACTCGGGACATTTTGGTGTTTCCTTTTGGACAGCTGACCTGCTCTCAAGAGATAATATAAACAATCACGGTAATAAAAATCAAAGTAGTCAGGGAGATTCTGTTGCATAATCTCCTTTTATTTTTAAGGAGATTTTGTTTCCTGAAAATGCCTTTGATTGCTTGTCAGTGCTAAAATTTAAACTGTTTTATGTAGCTGTCACTGGTGGATAATTGCGAACAGGTGGAAGGAGAAGAGGAAAAGATTACAGCATTGTGCTTCGTAGGTTGATGGTGAGATGTGATTTAGCTGAACGGTCCCCTTTTCACACTAGTCAGAGCATGAGAACAGGACATAATTTCATTCCCCTGAAGGAGACAGGAGACCAGAAGGAAGCGCTTTCGCTTCTTACTTTTCTTGAGGGGAGCGTCACGCAGGCAGAAGTCCTTGCTGTGTTCCTTGAGCAAGCCAAAGAGCAACAGGTTAAAGCTGGCAGCCTGTTATCTTTGTGGTTTAGCTTTTAGAAATCCCCATAACGTAACGCACTTGAAATAGATGTCGTCATCAGCTCCTGCCCCAAGTACTAAGCCTGACCAAATACATGTGACAGAAGATGGTGGAGTAGAGTGCAGCAGCTATTCATGTGGTAGGAGTGGTTATTGTATTAGGGTATACTTTTTGTTGACAGGCCAGCATGTTTTGAGTTAAAATTCTGCAGCTGTCTCTCCCCCTCTCTCACTTTGTCTCTGTGGATTTGTACAAATTCCAAGCTCCTCTGCAACAGTCGCACCCTTCTTATTTTGTTCTGAATATATTTCACTGGTTTGTTTTTGTTTTGTTTTTTTCCCAGCAGGAAACGGACAGCAGAGGCGCAGATCCATTCAGGATCTTAGTGTTGCTGGAACAGAGTCCAGTCAGGTAATGTCCTTCTTATCTCTTCTTTGCCTTTCAGTAAAGTCAGCACCAAATCTGTACTGGGGAACCGATCTGGAAATCTTCACCTTTGATGCTTTCATAGAAATGATGTGGAAGCTTGGCAGACTGTAGTGTTGTTTGTATTGCATTGAAATGAGATTCCATGAGGGTAACTATGAATGAGCTCTAGATGAGAAGCATTTTCTGTATAGCTTATGCAGGATTTATCACTTTATGTACACTTTTTTTGTGTACTGCTTAATTTGGCTGAGGGCACATGTTACACAGGAAAGCCTTTTCATCATTCTGTATGTAGGAAACAATTATAATTACTACTTATTGTGTAAAACAGTTATATATAGACTCACTTTCTGCATGAAAATAAAAAGCATGTGCATCACTGTAATAAATGTTGTTTATTATCAATCTCTGAATTCTGAATAGTAAATTGCAGAGATATCTCTCTATTTCTTGTAAAAGATATACAGCAGGGTGTTGTCAAAAAGTTTTGTTTAAAAAACCCACTATTTCAAAAAGGTATTTTATAATAACATCGCTATTTGTCTGGTATTGTAAATGCCATGGTAACAGAGACAGTGGTATGCTACATAACATGCTCCTAGTTTCATTTCAGTTTAAATGAGAAAAGTATAGCTAATGCTTCATTCAGATGTGGTTATTTTGTGTTTTTAATTGCTGCAACAATTTACAGAGACTATTTGATCCTTAGTGTGAACTGGCAATTTTGAGATCCCTATTATTATTATTTGCATGTGGGATACTGGTGCTTAGCATATTGATCAGGTTAATCAAGTTTCCTTATTAAACAGCCTACTGCAATAATCTAAAATAGGTGGTAATTCTTGGCAGGTATAATTATCAGGAAGATAACCTTTGATACTTCTTTAATTCCATGGAGTGTGATAGCCATAGAAACCTCATCAGTCCTGTAGGTATTAGTAAATTTACTGTGCACATCTACCAGAAAATAACAAGTCTACATAATATATTTTAATATCTTCAGAGAAGACAGGTTTGATAGAAAGAAATCAATCTGCAAAATTTAGGAACTAATTTACCCTATTCATTTAATTGTAGAATTAAAATTATGCAAGACTTGAGGGAAAAAATTAAGTGACAATGCATCAGTTATATCAAATTGTGCTGATTGATGTATGAATATATTTAATTATAGCTTTTTAATTTAAAAGTTTTCATTCTGTTCATTTTAATGAATGGTTGATATTTCAGATTTTCATCATTTGCTTTATATCTTAATAACTATTATAATAATCTGTTTGAAAGCTATTCTACTGCTTGTATGGGTTTTCTAGCTAAATTGTCCTTGTGAACAGAAGGATACAGAAATTTCATTTTATGTTTACCTCACCAATATCTCCTGTGGGTCTAGAGAAGTGCCAGAGTCATAATTTACGTTATTGCTTCTGATAGTGTACGTATTGGAAATGTAAGTGGAAGAACTACGATTGTCTGTTGCTATCCTGCAGTTTCTTTGGAAACATGGTAAAGTCTGGAAAACAATATTTTATCACACATGAAAAATGCAGTTTCAAAGATATTTTTGTACTGTCCATATAAACAAATAATGAATTTTTATCCCCTTTTTGATGTGAGGAGAGATAGAGGAGTCTGCTAAAACTAATGCTAACTTTTGATGTACACATGCTTATGTATATTAAAAAAAATTGGAAAACTATGAAGAAACAGAGCACAATATAATTATGGCTAAAGGCTTAATATTAATCTTTATGGGTTTCTATACATCTGGACCTCAATGCCTTGATTTTTTATTAGAAATTTTGAGGTGCTATCCATATAAGCAATCTACAAGCCAAAGCACAAAAAACATCTGAGTGGCATAGCTCTGGTGAGTTTATCCAATCTCTCTGTATGTACTACACCATATCTAGGGTATCCTTTCTAAAGTGAAAATCTCCTTCCCCCTTGCCCCCTTCATTGCAAACATCCTTCTTCCCCCCATTCCATTCTCCCTTACACCCACTCTGTGGCACAGCCCTCTTCACCAAGCAGCCGTGGCCCCTCTGCTTCCTCACCCAGGCCATGGAAGGTCCTATCCACTCAGAACTGAAGGATTGCCACGGTGCCTCTTCCCTGGCTTTTAGCTATTTGACACAATAAAGCTGATCAGAAATATTTTTATTGAATGTATTTTTCCTGGAAATTTCTGCTGTGTCTATAGAAAATTATTCTGTCACTACTACTGGTTTTTAATTAGAAAGGTTTTTCCAGTTCAGAATGGAATTTTTCTTAAGGTGAAGGAAAATACCAGGCTTGTATGTAAATAATCAAATATATGTATATATAATATTAATGAATATAGTATATGTGTATATGTACAATAAATGTTTAATAATACATATACCAAAGTTTGGGTGCTTACCTGAAAGGGGTGGTCCAAGACTCTTGGTCCTGTGTACCTGTTTGCCTGTTTTCATTTGACCACCTTGTATGTTTCATGATTGTATGTCTATTTTACGTCTGTGTGCTCTTGGAAGATTTTTTTGTGTGGCTTGTATGGCTGACAGTTAACTGTGTTTATGTTGTTGAGACACTTAAGGTGCTTAGCAGTATTGCTCTTACTGGTGTTCTCAACAGCAGACAGTAATAGTGCTTTGCAGAGGGTTTTACTACTCAGCATCAACAGTTTAGATAAGAAATTTGCTAGGTCAAGGGTTTTCCATCTTTGGATCAGCTGTTAGAGTGATTTGGTGTTGAGAACATGTGTTCAGGTCTGAATTTTCACAGATTTTAGCACTTGGTGATTTTAGACGGGTCCTTGCTCCAAGTGACGTAAGCAGCACTGATGCAACTGTCCCTTCTAAAATCAAATGCTACATTTTTGTTTGTTTCTGTCTATATACTGTGATGCTCTGTTAATTTCTCCCTTTTTTTGGAACTGAATAGTTTCTTCTGCCTATTTCCCTGTACGTGCACTTCAAAACATTTTAGTGTGTCATCTGTCTGTTGCTATTGCTCTTGCCTAAACGCCTTTCCAACACAGAAACATGCAACTGCTAATATTTTTGGGGATTTGAAGGAACACAGCAAATTGCTGTTTGTACTGCATGCAATCTTAATAAAATTTCATGTTTTATATGGATACTGAGAAACATATCTGGCATAATGACCCAAGATCTGCAGGTTGTGATCTGATGCTGTGTGGTATCCATCTCCTTGCCTGTGTGTCTTTTATTGGTTTGGTTGTTTTGTACTCATCTTTTACAGTACTATCATAAATACAAAAACTACCTACTTCCTCATTTAAACTTTTTTTGTTTTGTTTTGGGGGAGAGAAGGTGTCATAACTGTTGCTGGGCCTTCATAACTTTTGCAGGTTACTTTGAAGTGAAAAGAATTACTGTATTAAAGAAAGTCATGTACTGATATGAACAGTTGAGAAGCAAGGTCAGAATGTACATGCCCATATGCATGCAAGCTAAGTGGGATAATTTGGGGATCTGATATTACACAGATGAATCATTCTGTCCATGAGATTGTGAAATTTGTCACAGATGCACATTTGGGTTTTATTCTCCTCTTTCACAGCAAGATAAAATTCACAGATGAGATGAAGAAACAGGACTAGTAAGGATGATTTCTTTAAATCATGTTGCCTGTTTAAGTTTCAGGGAAGATTATTACTCAGAGCATGCCAGCTTTTTTCAAGACTGTAAGTCTTTGAGAAATGGAAGCTAAGAATGCCATGTGGATTTGACCACCTGGCAAAGATGATTTGAGAATAACCTGCTAGCAAGTCTGGAGGAAGCAAGGATGAAGGGGTAGCAGAAACTGATTGCTAAAGTCCAGACAATGGACTTTACCTGTCAGAGGGGCTGCCATCCAGGTGGCCTAAAGCATCTCACTCAGCACACACTCAAACACTGTAATCTAACCAGTGTTCACTTTTGGAAACTTCCCTTCAGCTTCGTAGTGGTTTTTAGTTATGCTTCAGATGTGATTCCTTCATTTCTATATCTACTGAATTTCATGTAAATAAAGGTATCAAAGAAATGTGGTTTTGTTTGGTGGACCAAAACAAACTGGTAAAGCACTGAGAAGTTACTGTAACTAGAGTATTTCTCAGGTGCCCTTCACTATCCTCTATAGATACTCAACAAATCTCTTTTTGCTTAAAGAACTTTTATGCTGTTACAAGTGCTTTCTCTATCTTCTGATCTTTTACATCAGCAGAGTGTTTATCATTCATACCTGAGGACACTAACAGTAAGCTCAGCAACTAAACCTTACCTAATGTCAAAGACTCCAACACAAAAGATTTTTCAAAATGTCTGATGCCATCATCTTGATAATATCCATCAGATTATTTCTACAGTTTACTGTCTTGTTGCTAGATATTAACATAAAACACAAAATGCTTAATAAACATCACAGAAGGACTATGCATTTGAAATAATGGGTGTTTCAGTGTGTATAATCTTGTTATTTTTTGGATCATTACTGGGCCAGAATACTGAATTTTAAAACTTAAATTAAAGTAGGATATTTGGAAATAAAGTCATGAAGAACTATAGTTTCTAGTTAATGTATATTTGAGTGCTTGTTTTGAAAAACTGAGTCATTTAATGAATCATTTCATGATAAATACACCATCTTGAAAATAGCTGTATTTTGATAGCATCTTTCCTTTTACTTCATTTTTTTCTGAGAAACTTGCTGGGGCTTATAGTCTTAAATCCTTTACTGTGTTAATTTAATGTCACTGAAGGGGTATGTGAAATAGAAACGTATATATTGTAAACAACATTTCTGAAAAAGCAGCTTAGCAGAATAATGAAATCTTTATTATGTTTTTGTGCTTTGGTAAACAAAAAGATTGGAGTCAAAGAGTACGTGAAAAAATGACCTTCAGAATCTTGGTTTAGTTCTTAATTTCCTTCATGAGGGAGAATGTACTCATTTTCTGATTGATGTGCTTCAGTTGAGTGATCCTTTTTGATTCGGCTCTTTTTCACATTTTCTGAAAATTAATCACATAACCTCTGAGTTAACAAAAGAACCAGAAGAAAACTGTAGATTAATACATGGTAGTCTAGTGCAGCTACTTAGCTGTATTCCTTTTATTGAATGTAGTTCCATTCATTGATTAAACGTTGGAAAGAAACTTTATTTCCTCTTTGTGTTACAGAGGTGCTAGATTTCACTGAACGATGGTGCAAAAATCACCAAACATATTGTCATGATTTTCTGTAAAGATCTTAAACACACTGTTCAGCATTGCTTTTTGTTATGCTGAATGGCAAAATTGTATCAATTTCTTTTACACAGTAAAGAAGAAATGGGGATTAAATTATCCCTGCAATGCTTGTAAAATTGACCAAACCATCAGGAGAGCATTCAGGGTAAAAGCTTGGGGAGGGAAAGTATTTTTAAGGAGGATTATAGGTTCATATTTCTTCAATTTATATTTTTTTTCTTTTTAATGAACTTCTCAAAGAATCTTCTGTTAACTTGTTTTGTTTTGTCATTTCAGGAGAGTAGAAACAGCAGTAGATCGTCTAGTCCTAGTGTGAGAATGATCACTACCTCGGGACCAACCTCTGAAAAGCCAACACGTAATCCGTGGACACCAGATGATGCAGGTAATCCTTTGTTTATTGTGTATTTTTTTTTGTCTGTAAAAATGTAAATATTAATTTGTTTGTGGTATGGGGTGTGTGCTCAGACATTAATAAAAGTAAGCAATGAAGATCATGATTTTTTTAATTTCTGCTTAAATCCAGTCATTACGTTACTGCCTTGTTTTTCACATATGCTTTAAGAATATTTATAGATTGCTAAATTACATAAACTTGTAAATATTTTGCTTGTAAGAAGGTACTGTAAATTGCAGTGATAATAATACTTAATGAGCATCTTGTTAGCAGTCTTTTTTACTATAGTGTGGTTTTGGAGCATTAGGAGAATAGACATCTTAGAGCATTTCAGTCTTGTCCATTTGTATTTTGAATGCACATTTAAAGATTTCATTGCCCTCACATCTGGAATTAAATGTTATGTAGGTGAGTATCATCTGGAGTAGGTTACTCCTGTTTACCATCCTAGTTGTAATTTTGCTTATGCAGAATGTAGATGTGCACACAAAATTGCTGGTTTTAAATGCACTAACAAGTGTCTGTAGAAACATTGTAAATACTTCTACTGTAGCATCACTGTTCTTTTGTTATGAAATAGGATTAAGCATGAAGATAAGTGAATAGTTCAGTTTTAAAAGTCATAATGCATGCTGTTATGGAAAGAACCAGTACTGGAATGCAGGAAAAAATGGATCCCCACAAATTCAGTTTTAGAGTGTAAATAAAAATTACATTTTTGATGCCAAAATGTCCATGTTGAATCTTAAATTTAGTCTCAAGATGGTACTTCAGAGTGCCTCAAATGCTGTAATCTTTTTTTTGTGATCTTTTCATCTGGATGATCAGACTCTTCCTGTAACCAACTGCAAAATGCAAACTCATGTGGTGACTGATTCTTGCACAAGTATATGTATATATATATAAATATATATTTGCTCACTTGCATTTTACCAAATATAAGGTGATTATGTAAGATGTACTTTTTTTTCCCCTGTGTTAGTGGGAGAACAACATTTTCTTGTGTTTTGCTTCCCTATTTTCTTCTTTCTTTCCTTTGCTGCTTTGCCTGACCACAAGTCAGTGCCTTGTCACTCATAACTTTCCCAAGCCCTTTCCCACTGCTGCAGCCCACCCTTGGCCCTCTTGTGCAGCATGGACCCCGAGATGCTTTAGGTGGTGAGCACTAACAGGAATTGCTGCCTCACATTGGAAGCAAACTCTTACCCAGTCAAGAACTCATTGGGAACTGAAAGCTGCAAATCGTAAGCCAGTGCAACAAAAGTTTGTGCCGAGTTTTTGGTCTTAAATGCAGCACAGCACTGGAGCTAAAAGTCAGGTTTGTTTTCTGGCCCACAGAAATTGGTCACCTTATACTCGGGTAAATACAGAATGTGCCATAAGTATATTTTTTCTTGCTAGGTTTATGTAGGCCATGCACAAAGAATTGTTCAAATTTCTGAGGACAGAAATAATTCTGTGTTTCTGTAAAAGATGCTATGGTTTTAGTTTAATGAAGCAAAGTGATAAAACAAGGATGCAGCCGTATCTGGTCAGTCAAGGAGAATTTGCAGTTCTGTGACACGGTGCTGAAACTCTCGGGAATGTCACCTGAAGCATTTACATGTATTGATGTATTTTTGAAGCATTGCAATCATTGTCACAATATCCGTGTATGGCAATAGCCTAATGAAGGGAAGGACTTCTCATGTTGATTGCATTTAAGATACCATGGTGATTAAGTCTCTGGTTTTAGGGTTGTTTTCTTTTTCTTTTTTCTTCTTGTTTTTACCACCTTCCAGTTTCCTTACAAGCATACCCTTAACAACTTTTTCTCCATTCCCACCCTCTTATTTCTGTTTCCTTTTGAAGCTGCTCTTGGAAATAGCATAGTCTTTGAGGGCAACACCTTAGTTTCTCTACCACGACTACTCTGTGGCAGGTGCTTTTGGGGTATGGGTAAGCAGCCCCTTTTTTTTCCCACCTACCCTCCTCCATATAATCCTTTAGTAGCAATTATGCAGCTGTAAAACCAGTAGTTTCTCCATGTGTCTTTATTCCTGTGTCTCTTAAAGCTTAACAGTAACCTTGTGATCCCCAGATTGTGGGGTACTGAAAGATAAGAATGCAGAAACATACTAAATCTGGAATGAAAGCTCTAGAGAAATCCAGAGCAACTGCAGCGTAAGAAGAGAGCAGCCATGCCCAGGAGACAGACCAATTATTGGGTTCCTTGCTACCCACAAAATATCTATATGGAGCAGAGAAGATGCCCTAGAGCATGTAGTGAGGAAGATACTTAGAGACCTCACTGGGAGCAGGTTTCAAAACTGAGCAGGAGGTTGTGCTTATTTTATTTTGGCAGAGCTGATTTGCACAGCTTCTAATTTTAAAGTCATTAGATGCATGGGCTGGCTGGCTGACCCTTCATAAACAAGAATGAAATGGCAAATTTTTTATAAACAGAAATGATTGCAAACTGTACAAAAGTGGTATTTTTAAAATCTGTGTGCTGTTACATGGCTTCTAGAAATGTAGGTTGATAACCATAATTTTTTTTTTCTTGATGTGATAGACCATACTTTTTGATGTTCTTAACTATCAGAAAAACAAAATGATTCATCTGCCTTGGGATTGGAACGCTGCTATTTCCATCTGCTTATCCACATTCAGATTGTGTATTGTGTAATTACTTAGACTTCTTGGTTTTGTCCTGTAAGAATAGAATTAACTCTTTTTAAATACATTAAAGTTTTCTTGGTATTTTTACAGAGACCAATGGGTCAGATAACTCCATCCCAATGGCGTATCTCACATTAGATCATCAGTTACAGGTAATAAATATACAGTTTATTAGATTCTCAAGTTTGCATTTCATTCTAGCACGTGACTTTGGGGCTTCAAAATACAGTGCCACATATTTACCTGGGTTTATGTTCTGTCTAATTTTTGACCAAGGCTAAAAAAATATATTATGTAATCTGAGCTTGGTTGACTCAGGTTTGATCAAGCTATTAAAAACAAGCCCTGGGAAACATGATCCCTAAAACCAAATGTAAGCTGAGTTTGACTGTCAAAATAAGACATTATTTGCTTGAGTGTTACTGACTCAAATCATTGTATACACTTTATTTTTTGTGTGTGGGATTAAACACTGCTTTGATTTTTGTGACAAGTGTCAAATTAAAAACTTCAAATTGGAGTAAACTTTGACATCGGTGCTGTAATATTTTCCAGGGGATGGTTTAACACTTATTTTTAAAGGCTTACTAGTTTTTAAAAGACTGTTATAAATACACTGCAGAGACATTCTAACACACTATTTACTAAGATATCAGTTCATTAGTCTTTTACATGTCTGATTTATTTTCAGCCTCTAGCACCATGCCCAAACTCCAAAGAATCTATGGCTGTGTTTGAACAGCACTGCAAAATGGCACAAGAATATATGAAAGTTCAGACAGAAATCGCATTGCTGTTGCAGAGGAAGTAAGTGAAATGCATTTAAACTTTTCCGTCCTTCTATGTCTTTTCTATACGCAAAGTCTGTGTATAATAATAAAAATACATAATAAAAAGTAAATAATATTTCTGGCTTTATGAAGTAACATTTCATAGGCCATAATTATTTTCCAACCTTAAACTCAGGAATACTGAGCTTCTCAGTACAGTACAGTACATGAAATATTTAGAACAGGTAATTGAAAGTTCTAATCAATATCAAGACTCTTCTTCTGGACAAGTCCTACATAAGGTCGTGGTGAATCTCTGTATGTAACAAACTGGTAATGTTTGATTTTATCGTCTCAAATTAAACATCTGAACTGTTAAAGAACCTTGGAATTTAATTTGCTACACTGTCCATTAAAGTATTTTCAGTTGTAATTTATAGATAATTGTTAACCAATTATAGAATTTTGGGTAATATGTCAGTGTTAGTAATTTTGCTGTTAGTTTTAATCATATCTCTGACTTTTGTCAAGCATTGCATTTACAACAATATTATCAACACTCATCTTAGATTTTTCTGCCATGGCTTGAGGACCTGATGCTTAAAAGCTGTTATGTGCCTTTTCCTTGTGTGTTGGAAATAAGCTCTTTCCTCTTGCATTGTTTACATGTATAAGTAAAGCAGCTGCACATATTGTTGTATTAGGTAAAAAATGATTGCTGATTCAGATTTTGAGTTCATAACAAGTTCTGTTGTGTTCTGTTTCCTGATGCTGGGGACCAGTCCAGAGGTCATAGTTGCACACTAGACCAAATAATCAGCTTGTGACACACCAGTGTCTGAGCCACTGGCAGCTGTTAATAGAGATCTTGCCTTGGTATTCGTGGATTAGCTAATGAGAAAAATGTGTGTGTAATCCTTTTGTACGGTAGAAATAACATACAGAATGGGGGGGAAATGTTACTGTAAGATTGAACTCCTATCACATATTCACTTTGGGCGTAGTATTCTGTGACCAATTAAGTTTTTTCACATGTAACTAGGATTTTTAGATTTCATGAGGAGATAATGATGCTAGAGTTAATATCTTAATTTTGATTTTATTGATGTTGTCTCTAATGGTTAATAAATTATTTAAAATATACTTGTTTCAAAACTGTTATTCTCTACTTTTAGATTCCTACTAGGTTTTTTCCTAGGAAGTTTGTGTTCACATTTCTTCCAAACTGGTTTTTCTTAGTCAGACTGTAATTGTCCACAGGCATTAAAACTAAAAAATATGTTGTGATGGATTAATTTAATGCTAGTTAAGGTAGTTATTAGTTCAGCCCTCATATAATTACTAAATTTTCTTTCACTGTAATTAAAAACTATATGGCAACAATTAATTAACTTTCTCCTTTGCTATTTTGTTGCAAAAATATTGCTGGCAGCTTGCCTTCTTGTCACCTCATAACAAAATAGTAAAACAAACTGCCACATCAGTTTTGCAGAATAAATTATAGCAATATTATCAGTATGTTTGGGTCCCTAAAATATTTGCTAAGAAAACACATTGAATACTTACAGCATAAATAATGGGAAATGCCAGTTACAGAAGTAATTTCCTTGATTCTACTTTTCCACTGCTTCAATAATTTCAAGTCCAGATAGAAAATAGCATTTCACTAAAAAGTTACAAAAATTACTGCAATTTTGTATTTGAAGTTGCCTTTTAGAGATTTAAAATGTACATATAGATATCTAAAATTGGAATTGAATATATTTATGAAATTTTGTGCTGCTCCTAGGTATTTTACTGTGACCTGTAAAACTACTTCTGAAAGAAATTATCTAAAGGACAGTTTTAGAGACTGAGGCTCAGTCCTCAGCTGTTTTAAAGTTTAAATGTGGATTTGATTTGGAAGGGAATTTTTCCTCAGACTACATTAAAGAATAACATTCTTTTGTCAACTTCTTTTGCACAGAATATCACCAGCTGTGAGTTCAGATTGATAATCAAATACTGATTTGAAACATATGAAGTCAGCTACACACAAATGAAAATAGAATATAAATAGAATATAAATGAAAATAGAATATATAGACAATGACTTTTTTTTTTTCCATTTCAGACAAGAACTAATAGCAGAACTGGACCAGGATGAAAAAGACCAGCAAAACACATCCCGTCTAGTACAAGAACATAAAAAGCTGTTAGATGAAAATAAAAGTCTCTCAACATACTATCAGCAATGCAAAAAACAATTAGAGGTCATCAGAAATCAGCAACAGAAGCGGCCAGGCACATCATGATTTCCTGGGACCTTTTAAATGAAAAATATGCACAGAAAAGACTGATTTTTTTTATTGTTATTATTATCCCGTATTATGACAGCTCATGAGTGTTAGCTTCTTGGTGTGATCTGTACATGTCTGCTACACTTAACATCATTTAATTTTCTTTTTCCTAGGTGAAATCCAGTTCAACAGGTTAATTGAATAGGGTGAAAAAACAGTGACTTGAATTAACCAACAGTCCTCAATTTAAAGCAAGAAGAGTGGCTGTTTGCATGCTCCTTGTGTGAAGGCTAGCCTAACCAGTGTTGAGGAGGCTGCTAAATTGTGAGAACTTATTTTTAGTTTTTGGTGTTGCCTCAGTAAGAGCAAAAAAAAAAAAAGACTTTCCTCTTTAAGAATGGTTTTGTTCCAGTGTCTCATCTCAAACTATTGTTATGATGATTATTTTCATAATAAACTGAAACATGCACCAAGCTGCAGAGGTGATGTTGGCTGACCAGAGTAATTCATGATGCATTAGTGATGCCTTTTACCTGTAGACATAGTGTATTTTTCCACATGCAAAATGGTAGGCAAGCTGATGCCAGCATTCTCGGTTCAGTGCTTGATAGCCCTGCATTTTGACTAATATATTTCTTGTAATCTTGCATTCATAAAATATTTGAAGTAAAAGGCTGTATTTTGTTTACTTTCTTCGGGTGAATGACATTCAGTTTCATTTAAATACTGGCCAAAAGTTGGGAAAGTGATTGCTGGACAGAATTGGTCCCTTATATAAAAGAGATATCATCAAAAATATGTAAAAGTGTGTTCCAAACCTTTAAAAATTTGTCCCTGTAGGATCTTTGGAAGAAAATTCAGAAAGAAAATTAATACAGTACTTGAAATATTTGCACCCTTTATGTTTTTGCTCCATTATTGATTTTGTTTCAGGAGTTTTTTTTCTTAAAACTTACTTGATGAAAAGCAATTACCATAAATGTAAATAAGTTTGTTTTAGATAGAGAAGAGTTTGGGGAAATAACTTTATTTTAAATAGCAAATTATAAAGTGGAGTTGAGTATGCAAATAGTGGAAACTATTAAGAAAATGAGGGAAATAGCTTAGATCTCTGTCAGGAATCTCAGTTATTCCACTCATTTGAACACAGCTTAAAGGAAGTTCATCACAGAATGCCTGCTGCCTTTGTGACTGAAGAATTGCATTTAATGAACTTGAGTGGAATATGTAATGCTCAGTGTTGATATTTACCATTATTACATAGGAGAAAGTAATTACTTGTTTACATTGCAGATTGATTATTTGGATTATGAATTAACTTTAACTGGTACAAAAATGAGACACTTCTATATACAATGATAAATTACTCCTTACATACATACATAAGTTATTGATGTTCTCAGTTACAGGCAGGGTTTTAATAACACTTGTTTGCAAAATTAAAATAGGAAATTGAAGTTTAGTTGCTGAGCCCTATAAATAAAAGAGAAGTGATCTGAAATTTGAAGTACACTTATTTCAAATAAATAGTTACTCATGCCCATGAGCAGAACTTGGAAAAACCTTAAGGGGAAAAACCTCATACTATTTTCTCTTTCTCTTCCTGCCTACTTGATAAAAACCATTACTACAGTTGTGCTTATCTGTGAACAGCAAAGAGGACGAACAACTTACTGAACATCCTGTCTTGAAAATAAATCCATTGTTGGCAAAGCTTTGGGAGTTAGAAACCTTTCCCTCATTTTATTTAAATAAAGGAAGGGTTCTCATTCCCAAAACCTTAAGAGATAATTTGATTAGTTAGCTGAAACTGATATTGGGATCAACTTAAGGGCACACATATTTATAGCAAAATGTAATTGAGGGAGAAAATAACTCTAGTATTAGGAATAGCACAAGTTATCCAAAGCATTGCTGTTCACATACATCTGTCTATCTACCAAAATGGAGACACTCAGTGATCAGCAGCTAACTTAACATATGCTGCAGCATGAAGTAGAGCAGCATAAATACTGATGCTCAACTTCAGAGGCATTGAGAGTTACATACACAAAATCATTTCTCAGGACAGTTTTTACATTTTTGCTGTGTAGTCAAAGAGATATGCTGAAGGTAAATCTGTTGTATGTGAAAAGTCACTTTATGGCAAGGTTTGAATAATGAAAGCGAATGCAGTGATAAATTAATGGTACATAATACAAAATTAATTTCTGGCAGTTGTTCGTGATTTTCCAGGGTTTACATTAAAAAGGGTCTCAGATTATAAATGAGTGCTGTGCTACCATACACTGTTGACTTCAATCAGTAGTTTGGTTTTATCACTCTTTTAATTTTCAAAAGGAAATTGGAGTTTGACATTTTGCCTTCAAATTGTCCTTTTCTTAATTTTACCAGAAATTTTTAAAATACTTTCCCAGATTTCTCACAGAGGTTTTCCATACGAAAAAAATTGTCATCATAAAAAAAACTATAAGGGTAAAACACGGCAGCTTGGGATAAGAAGAGTTTAGCAGCTTAACTTTCAGTGACCTTTATTGTTTTCATAAGGCTCGTGTTTTAAAGTTGTTTACAAATGTACTTTTAATTTTTCTGTTAAACTGTTTAGACTGTTCAGGAAGTCTTTTCACGTACTCTTCTGTTCAGTTAAAGCTGTTCCTCTAATAATGGAGGTGAAACATCTAGTTTGGGCTGGGCACTGCCTTCTCAGAAAAGGTAACAGGCTCTGCTTTTTGTTACAGTCTGTGTTCTGTAAGATATTTTGTAATTGAAGTATGCTTCTGTATACTATGCAGTTCTTCCAAAAATGCTTTTTTAGGCTTTTTGGTTTGTTATTTTTTCTGATGAGGAATTGAAGATTGTAATTCATAACTTGTACATAAAATGGTGAATGATTTCATATGATTCAGGAATGAGCAGTGTGGCTTTCTGTTACAGGGTTTTACTGCTTTGTCAGGAGTCTAATTAATAAAAGCTGAGAGACTTCCACAAACATGTAGTAATGCCCCAACACTTGCCAGAGCATCCGTGATCTCTCATGGAATCCCACACTGGTTGGAAGATAATCATCTTGCAGTTGTTCCCACTGCTGAAAAAAATTCTTCTGCTATGAGCTTGTTCCTTCCTGTATGCAGAACTGGGGTGTAGGATGAATAGTCTTACTCATAACTGAGTATAAAGATATTTTAAGAATGCCACATCTACCTTGTGGATGTAGTGCAAAGAGATAAGTGCTTGTCTTCTGTTGTTAACGTCTGAAAAATTCCATTCCCTGTAACTTGTCTGTTTTGTTCATAATGTATGTTACAACTTGAGAGGTTCCATTGTCATACCAGAGGCAGAGATGACCCCCGAAAGTGTCTCATTGCCTGTGAAGATCCCAAAATTGTGCTTCAGATCTCTTCTGAAGTGTTCTGAACAGTTTGATCCTGTCAGGTGCCCTGCTGTAACTTGCCGGGAAAGTTTGAAAAAACAAGGGGAAAGAAAAACGGTGTGGCACACCCAACCCCACAGAATAGAGATATCCCTGCCGAACTGGTTGACAAGCAGGATGTTAGAAAAGCAATCCTGTGTAGATGTGTATGCAAATAGAAACACGGTGTTACGTACTCGCGGGTTCTTACCTGCCTGAAAGGAGGATGCAGCCAGGTGGGTGTCTGCCTCTGCTCACAGGCAACCAGCAACAGGACAGGGGACCCAGCCCTAAGATATGCCAGGGTAGATTTAGGTTGGACATTAGGATGAGTTTTTTTCACAGAAGGGGTGATTAGGCTTTGGAATGGGCTGCCCAGGGACATGGTAGATTCACTGTCCCTGAAGATGCCTAAGGAAAGACTGAAGGTGACACTTGGTGCCATGGTCTGGTTGATGTGGTGGTTCCAGTCATAGGTTGGACTTGACGATCTCAGAAGTCTTTTCCAACCTCATTGATTCTGTAGAGAACTGCATATATCAAATCAGAATTGATAGATATCTTTTTCTTACTCCAAAATCAGAGCTTTCTCTAGTTTTTATTTACTTCAGTAATGTCACTAGATGGGTGATATTCTATGCCTGTGAAGATCACATTCTTTAGAGGCATTCTTTAGAGATAAGTAGAGGTGTGAGAGTGCATCAGTTATTTTCTGTGCCCGTGTAGCAGTTTCCTGCTTCTTGCAGGGAGAATTCACATCCTTCACTGAACTTGGAGAGGTTTGCTGCACATGTTTAACTTTGAACCTACATTATGGAATAGTGCTTAATGAAAGGGCAAAAAGGAATTTAGACTTAAGTAGTTTTAATTTTTAATTATTAATAAAATACTGTCTTAAAATACTTAGAGCTCTGCTAATCCTAGGGCTTTAGCCTAAACAAGCATTAATTCTTTATAGCTGTGTGCTTTACACTAAGTAGCTAAAAATTTGAAATACTCCAAAGGATACAACAGGCTTGTGTCTGCATAATTCCACATAGTTTATCAGTATTCCTCTTCTAACTTGAATAAAGGCAGCCATGCACTTGGGAACCATTTCTTTTTACAGATGGATGGAGAGGAGCACATCATCGAATCACAGAATCATTAAGGTTGGAAAAGACGTGGACAACAAGCTGCCTGTGAGCCAGCAATGCCCTTGTGGCCAAGAAGGCACATGGTGTCCTGGGGTGACAGGAAGAGCATTGCAAGTTTATGGAAGTGGTTCTTCCTCTGTGCTCAGTCCTGGTGAGGTGCTGTGTCCAGTTCTGGGCTCTTAGTACAGAAGAGACATGGAGCTACTGGAGCAGGTCCAGTGGAGGGCAGTGAAGATGATGATGGGACTGGAGCATCTCTCTCATGAGGGAAGGCTGAGATAGCTGGACCTATTGAGCCTGGTGAAAAGGTGACTGAGAATGGATCTCATCAGTGTGTATTGGTATCTGAAGGAAGGTGACAAGAGGGTGTTTCCAGCCTCTTCTTGGTGGTGCCAAGCAATAAGAGAAGAGACAATGGACAGAAACTGATGCACAGGAAGTCCCACCTGAACATGAGGAAGAACTTTACTGTGTGACTGACTGAGCACTGGAACAGACTGCCCAGAGAGAATGTGGGGTCTCCTTCTCTGGAGATATTCAAAACATGTTTGAATACAATAATGAGTAGCATGGTTTAGGAGACCTTTGGAGCCTGGACCAGGTGACCCACTGTCATCCCTTCCAGCCTTACCCATTCTGTAAATCTTTTAACACTGGTGGGCAGCCTGGTGGGAATGCATTGGTCTTTCCTTTGCCTGGTCATGCTTTTCAGTCCCACTGATTCTGAACAGGAAAAGTGATGGAGCAACTGCACACAGACTGCTCTCCTGTGGTAATTGGGCAAAAGACTGTGTGGTGACTTGCATTCGTATAATCTATGGCCTTAGCATGTGCTGTGGAACAACATCGTAGTTTATACCAGAAAATTAGGAAAAAAAATCCTATCGGTAGGCAGCTTGGAAATTATATAATCTTTACATTTTCTCTGCTCAGAGGGTGGTGAGGCACTGGAGCAGGTTGCCCAGAGAAGTTATGGATGCCCCATTCCTGGCAGTGTTCGAGGCCAGGCTGGATGGAGCTCTAAGCAACCTAGTCTAGTGAAAGGTTTCCCTGCCCATGGCAAGGGGGTTGCAACTTCGTGATCTTTAAAGCCCCTTCCAATGCAAACCATTCTGTGATGAGGTAGATGTGTGACAATCTCTGTCTGGGTCTATTCCCCTTCCTTCTCATTCAGAGTAGCAGTGTAGATGTCAAGCTGTGGCCACCTTTGAGTGATGTGCAAAGCCACATGACTGACCTGGTAACTCCTACATTGTGGAAAGAGGGGTGGCCGAAAAGATGCTTAAGAAATGGAGAACACTTCGTGCAGCTTTGCGACTGTATCTGTTCAAAAGATGCTTCAAACTACTCAGACTCCCTTCCAAAAACAGGCAAAGTTAGAAAGATTAGGCTAAACAGGGAGTAAATCATCCTGTCATGTGGGGATATCCATATTTGCAAAGCCACCACATGTGAATCAGATTCTTACTCACATTCTTTACATCACCTTCATGATTAGCAAATTCCTGGACAGGAATTGTTCATGAAGTAGGAGGTGTACATAATTCAGCTCATCCTTTGAGGGCTGTCTGAGGCTTGCAGGACTGCTGGGAACAAACTGCCTCTGTCAGGGAAGGGCTCAGATGGGACCTTACAAGAAGAGTCAGCACCAGGAGCCCCTTTGGTCAGTGCTGCTGTGCTTTGCACCAGAGCACAGTGCCATGGCTGAAGTTACAGGGCTGGTGGTGAGAGCAGGGCTGCTGCTTTTCTTCAGCAGCCTCTAGCCACCCCTCTGGGTGTCCTTGAGTGCTGGCAGACACCAAAGCTGCTGTGAAGTGTGAGATTTAGGGTGACAGTTGTATGCTTATCAAAAACCCTAGTTCCAAAGAGATGGCTAAGGAGGGATTTTGTTTATTTGTTTTGGGATAGAAAAAAAAAAATTGAGGTGAGGGTCATTGAGAGTACTGTATCCCACAT